TGCCTTCGGTTCAGGTCATGATCTCAGGACTCTGGGACCGAGCCCCAGGTGGGGCTCCCTGCCCAGTAGGGTGCCTGCTTCTCCCTCTCCCTCTGCTGCTCCCCCTGCTTGCATTCTCTGTCAAATAAATAAGTAAAATCTTAAAAAAAAATAAAAAAGGAACTTAAAAAAAGGAAACAATAAACTTTGTTGAACATTTTTCCTGTCACATGTACTTTGTTTTCAGATTTTTCTTTTTTGTGATTTTTTTTTTAATTCACTTCAGTAATCTCTACACCCAATATAGGGCTTGAATTTATGAATCTGCTCTTTACGTGCTCTTCTGATTGAGTCAGCCAGAAGCCCCTGTTTTTATTTATTTTTTTTTAATGTGATCACTGTAAAGGGTGTTGCAATGAACATTTGTTTTGTTTTGTTTTTTCTTTTTTCCTTAAGTTCAATTTAGTCAACATACAGTGTATTATTGGTTCTGGAGTAGAATTTAGTAATTCATCAGTTGCTTATAACACCCAGAACTCATTCCATCAAGTGCCCTCCTTAATGCCCATCACCCATCCCCCTAGCCCCCTCCCCTCCAGCGACCCTCAGTTAGTTTCCTAGAGTTAAGAGTCTCTTGTGGTTTGCCTCCCTCTCTGTTTTTATCTTATTTTATTTTTCGTTCCTTTTCCCTATGTTCATGTTTTGTTTCTTAAATTTCGCATATGAGTGAAATCATATGGCATTTCTCTGACTTATTTTGCTTAGCATAATACTCTTTTGTTCCATTCATATCATTAGAAATGGCAAGATTGCATTCCTTCTGGTGGCTAAGTAATATTTTAATGTATATATTATATCACATCTTCTTTATCCATCATCTGCCAATGGACATCTGGGCTCTTTCCAGATTTTAACTGTTGTGAACATTGCTGCTATAAACATTGAGGTGCAGGTGCCCCTTCGGAACATGGTGTTTGTATCCTTTGGATAAATACCTAGTAGTGTAATTGCTGGGTCATACCTATCCTCAAATCCTCATGCTTTTTAAATATGGTCCAGAAGAGGAATTAGCTGGGTTAAAAATGTAGATGTGCTTTTAATTTTAATTTTTTATTTACGATAGTCATACAGAGAGAGAGAGAGGTAGAGACACAGGCAGAGGGAGAAGCAGGCTCCATGCACCGGGAGCCCGACGTGGGATTCGATCCCGGGTCTCCAGGATCGCGCCCTGGGCCAAAGGCAGGTGCCAAACCGCTGCGCCACCCAGGGATCCCTGCTTTTAATTTTAATAGGAGTTTCCCCAAGTTCTTCAAAATGATTAGCCTAGCAATGTTCCAGAATACCCTTCTCCCATCCTGTCCAGTAGTGTCTTTCCTACTCTGATAAGAATGGATTATACCTGCAATGCTAATTGCATAGCCCAGGCACTTTTTGACACGTCATAAAGTATTTCAGTGGAGATTAAAACTAGGGCTCTGGCCAGCCTACATGATTGGAGGTGGTTGTGATTTTTTTAAACTTCTGAAGGAATCCATCGAAGTTTATAGTAGGAAGAGAACTGGAGACCTTTCTACTGCAATCCATTCCTTTCACAGATAAGGGAATTGAGAGGTGGAGGGAGTGACAGTGAGCTGGTTACTGACTGCTCTTTATGGGAAGCAGCTGTGAATTCTGACTTGAGGTTTTACCTATTACCTTACACTGTGGGCCATGCTGATGTGAGTTTTAGAGAATGGACCATGAAATGTCATTTGTGAGTTGAATTGACTGGTAGGGATGAACTATTTCCAGTTTTCTACTACCCTGCTAGGACAAGCAAGCTTCCCAACCTGCACTGGGCTGTGGGGGATTTGCTTTGCAAACTTCCACAATTATAATAGGAGATTTGTTAACTTGGTCTTGTCAATGGAATCTGCTGCTCTTAAACTTTTAGGGAACTTGGGATTTTATTTTTATTATTTTTTAAAGATTTTATTTATTTATTCATGACAGAGAGAGAGGGAGAGAGGCAGAGGGAGAAGCAGGCTCCATGCAGGGAACCCGATGTGGGATTCGATCCCGGGTCTCCAGGATCACGCCCTGGGCTGAAGGCAGCGCTAAACCACTGGGCCACCCGGGCTGCCCGGATTTTATTTTTCTATATTTGTTTTTTTTTTTAATTTTTTTTTTAATTTTTATTTATTTATGATAGTCACAGAGAGACAGAGAGAGGCAGAGACATAGGCAGAGGGAGAAGCAGGTTCCATGCACCAGGAGCCTGACGTGGGATTCGATCCCGGGTCTCCAGGATCGCGCCCTGGGCCAAAGGCAGGTGCCAAACCGCTGCGCCACCCAGGGATCCCTGCTTTTAATTTTAATAGGAGTTTCCCCAAGTTCTTCAAAATGATTAGCCTAGCAATGTTCCAGAATACCCTTCTCCCATCCTGTCCAGTAGTGTCTTTCCTACTCTGATAAGAATGGATTATACCTGCAATGCTAATTGCATAGCCCAGGCACTTTTTGACACGTCATAAAGTATTTCAGTGGAGATTAAAACTAGGGCTCTGGCCAGCCTACATGATTGGAGGTGGTTGTGATTTTTTTAAACTTCTGAAGGAATCCATCGAAGTTTATAGTAGGAAGAGAACTGGAGACCTTTCTACTGCAATCCATTCCTTTCACAGATAAGGGAATTGAGAGGTGGAGGGAGTGACAGTGAGCTGGTTACTGACTGCTCTTTATGGGAAGCAGCTGTGAATTCTGACTTGAGGTTTTACCTATTACCTTACACTGTGGGCCATGCTGATGTGAGTTTTAGAGAATGGACCATGAAATGTCATTTGTGAGTTGAATTGACTGGTAGGGATGAACTATTTCCAGTTTTCTACTACCCTGCTAGGACAAGCAAGCTTCCCAACCTGCACTGGGCTGTGGGGGATTTGCTTTGCAAACTTCCACAATTATAATAGGAGATTTGTTAACTTGGTCTTGTCAATGGAATCTGCTGCTCTTAAACTTTTAGGGAACTTGGGATTTTATTTTTATTATTTTTTAAAGATTTTATTTATTTATTCATGACAGAGAGAGAGGGAGAGAGGCAGAGGGAGAAGCAGGCTCCATGCAGGGAACCCGATGTGGGATTCGATCCCGGGTCTCCAGGATCACGCCCTGGGCTGAAGGCAGCGCTAAACCACTGGGCCACCCGGGCTGCCCGGATTTTATTTTTCTATATTTGTTTTTTTTTTTAATTTTTTTTTTAATTTTTATTTATTTATGATAGTCACAGAGAGACAGAGAGAGGCAGAGACATAGGCAGAGGGAGAAGCAGGTTCCATGCACCAGGAGCCTGACGTGGGATTCGATCCAGGGTCTCCAGGATCGAGCCCTGGGCCAAAGGCAAGCGCCAAACCGCTGCGCCACCCAGGGATTCCCCTTATTTTTCTATATTTGTTAAGAATTACTGCTTCCAAGGGTGGAGCCGCTGGCTTGGATTACAGCTAAAATGACAGCTAGAAGCACTGGAGAAATAATTGCATGTACAGGAATGGCTTCCTGCTATGTACCGCCCCCTCCACCCTCCCTAACTTACTGATTTAAAGGGCTAAGTAGTAGGGCAGCACAGAAAAAACTTCTGGAGGTCTCCCCTGTGTTCCTGGCAATGTTATCTCTGGGTGTGACATGCACAACTTGACTAGGGCTCATATGGAAGTTCTCCAGGGCTGAATAAAATAAACTTTTGGAAAGAAGTCATTTGAGCTCCCTGTATCTTTAAACTCTGCTTTAATATTACAGTTGCAGATTTAGCCCATGGAGTCTGCTGAAGGAAATGAAAAGGGAGACCCCAGATTCTGCAGTCTCATTCGGGTTTGCTGTGTGTTCATCACAGAGCATCTGACAACACAGCAGTAACTTTCTAGGTCACCTCTAAATGAAGTTGGCCTTTTCAGGGAGCTCAGCCTGTTCTTTTGATAACAATAAAAATAACTATGATGGAGATTTATTTTGTTATAGATAAACATCTGGAGTAGATTTTATATATATATAAAATGTACACACACACACATCATTCCCTAAAGGCATGCCTTCATGTTGTAGACCTGGTCAGGAACTGTGCTTATTGGTGGGCTTGCCTGTCAGAGGCCAAGGTTCTTCTGGTTCAGCAATTCCTAAGCCTACAGATTGCGACCATGAGGGAACTTTCAGAAAATACTCATGCCCAAATTGCACCGCTGAATTAAATCAACCTGTGGGAGAGAAGAGGAGACTCGGGATGCTAAAGGCGATTCTAGCATGGGTTGAGCTGGGTTGAGGACTCCTTAGCAGGCCATTTTGATGCGAAGGTAGTGTTTCTGCTTCATGAAAAAGAAACACACTATAACGGGAACTTTTCTTTTTAGATTTATGCCACCATAGGGTCATCATCTCTCTCAACCTACTCTCCCTTCCTCCTTCCTGCCTATTCTGTAGACTAAAGCAGCAGACTCATGTCTTACACAGTCAGCTGGTGGAGGCAAAAATTGAATGCTGTACCAGTTGTCTTTGAAAAGTACCCTAGGAGTGGGCCAAGTGGGTTAGAGACCAACCCGCCTTGTGGTACACCTAGCATAGCCAGTTTTTCCCCAGCTTGGAACAGATCACTGTTTCTTTGGCTGAGATTCTGATAAAATAGCTAGCATTTAGGTGCTGTGATGTATGCAAAAATAGATCTTTAGGAATTGGAATTGTACTCAGCTTGAGAAGATACTCGAGCCCTGAGAAGCCCTGGGAATTGAGATCGGCCTAGGGCACTGCAAAGTCCTGTTCCTCTTCTCAGCCTCACTCCTGAGGCAGACTCTGAGTGGAGTGTAGACGGAGTCCCGGCACCATCTAAATGGTGGGTTTCTCCTTGCTTGTCTCTTAGGCACATATCGTGGTAGTAAGGGGAATTGGATGTTCAGTGCACATACAGAGGTGATGTCACTGCATTTTATTTTCGAATATTCAGAAACTGAGCATCTCTTTAAAAGCGTAGAATTCAACAGTACTGTCTTTCTGTCCTCCAGCATTCCCATGGTTCGGCATGGATATCGGTGGAACGCTGGTTAAATTGGTCTACTTCGAACCGAAGGATATTACAGCTGAAGAGGAACAAGAGGAGGTGGAGAACCTGAAGAGCATCAGGAAGTATTTGACTTCTAATACGGCTTATGGGAAAACCGGGATCCGAGACGTTCACCTAGAACTGAAAAATTTGACCATGTGTGGGCGCAAAGGGAACCTGCACTTCATCCGCTTCCCCAGCTGTGCCATGCACAGGTTCATTCAGATGGGCAGCGAGAAGAACTTCTCCAGCCTTCACACCACCCTCTGTGCCACCGGAGGCGGGGCTTTCAAGTTTGAAAAGGACTTCAGAACGGTATGTCAAGTTTGAGCTTGTTACACAGCAAAACCCCCTCTCAGAGAAGGAAAGCAAGCCTCTCCCATGTCCAAACGCATGGCTTCTCATATGGAAGAACTTGACTGCTAGCCTTGGGACTCTGGACAGGGTACCTTCACCTCTCTGTGACTCAGTTCCTCCTGTGTATGAATAGTTTGTGCCTGTAGGGGTGTCACAGAGTGGATAACATGAGATCCTATGGACCCAGCACTTCTTAGCAAATGCTTATAAATATTAGCTCTCATCATCATTTTTTTTTTTAATTTTTTTTTTATTTTTATTTATGATAGTCAGATAAGATGGTATCATTCCCTTTCGGAAGTGTTTTAGAGTTTTCCAGATTCTTACCGTGGTGTCATGAAAAGCATAATCATCATCCCGCTTTTATAGCTGCAGAGATGCAGGCCTGCCAGAAAGGCTTTCTGTAACTCCTATAAGAAAGGATTACTGCTGTCTACCTGTTGTTGGCTCTAAGTGTCTTTTCTGTTTTATGAATGTCATTCAGAAGTTTTGTTTGAAACAAAAGCAAAACATTTGGTATTATTTATAGGTGACTTCCTTTAATAGTAAGATTTCAGGTGTGTGGATTTACATAATAAGAACAATGCTGTCTCCTGAGTAGCAGTCTATACCAGCTCTGCATTGCTCATTTACGTTTGACAAATTTGGCTAAACAGAGGACATGGATGAGTAAGATATCTCATGTTTCTCTTTATTTAGCAATCTCTTAACAATTGTGTGTTCCAATTTCTACATCTTTACAGTCAAGATAATCTCTGCACTGTCCAGCCTCAACTAACAGGAAATAAAATGAGAATAAAGTGCAATAAAAGATGTAGAAAACAAAGAGAAAATAGTTAGCTAGTTTCAACAGAAATGACTGGGCATTAGAGAAGAAAAGTTTGGAAGATTTGGGAGTTAGTCTTGCCAGAAAGTTGAAAAATACAGTGAGATAAGTTGTAAAATACACTTTTTCAAAGCCTGGAGTGCAAATTACTGACATTCTGTCAGGGAACTAGTGTAATCCAGTCTTGCTGTAAAGTCTATCATTAATGAATAAATTAATGAATCAATACATTATTCATGGCATTTTAAAAAGCTATGAATGCAAATTTTTTTTGTATCATAAAAAGTAACATCATTTATCTCATTAATTGTACCAAGTAGTTTCTAGAGGAGCTGGCAACGGAGTCGTAGCACAGTATCCTGGATGAGACTCATGATACCAGGTTTTGGCTTTTTCTCCTGTGTTCCTTTTCCCAACACATCAGTGGAATTTGAGTGTCACCTAAAGGATTCATAGCATCTTTTTCCCACCAAAGGGGCCCAATGATCAAAGAGTTTTGAAACTGAAAAGGCTGAAGTCCGGGGGCATGAAAATTATTTTTGGGGGGGGGCATGAAAATTAAATTTGAGTTCATAGTTGGAAAAGCATTGAACCTGAATTCTAGTGTTGTCTCTGCATTTAACTAGCTGGATGACTTTGGGTGAGACATATCCCTTCTGGAGCCTTCAAGTATTATCATCTGCAAAAAGGTGGCAGTAAAGTGAAGAGAGGAGGGGGGAGTTTTAGGACATTAGAACCTGAAGTCACCTTTGGAGCCTGGGAAGTATAGCATTCTTGTGCTACTTGGATAAGGAAATTAAAGCTAAGGAGAGCTTAAGAGGCTCTAGTAATGCCTCCTAGTCAGAGCTAGGGTGTCAGCTCAATTCTAATTCAGAAGAATATGCTCACCCAGCCTAATGCTAGGAGTTCACCAGGTTACCCTATCAGGGGACACCTTCACTAAAGAGCCTAGAGTGAACCCAGGTGACCTGGATCATTTATGCAACATCCTCACTGCCTCCGTTCCTCATTAGGGCAATGTACATTCTGGGAGAAAGTCACTCAGTAGATGTTGGCTGTGAGCAAGGTGTTTCTCAAGGTTCTGAACTGAGATAGGTCATATTTTCTTATAACCAAGGTAAAGAAGCCTCTACTCCTTCAGGCAGCTTCTGGACTCTAATGAATAGACTGGAGCAGTGAGCAAGTCTGGAGTATTTACCAAACAGCTTGGCCTGCTAGGGACATACATCCATAAAAGAAAGAAGAGGGCTGCCTCCTGTTTCCATGCTCAGTCTTAGACGAAGTGAAGACAGAACTGATCTCTTCCTATAGCCTATTTGTCAGTGCACTAAGTGAATGTGCCTTTATCCTTCCAAAGTCTATGCAGATGGATAGGTCTTATCATCCTCTTTCCTAGGCATTCATTCACTCATCCAACAAGTATTTGTTGTGCTCCTTCTGTGTGCCAAGTACTGTTATGAACAAAACAAAGGCCCCACCCTCCAGGAGCTTATATTCTAGTGTGGAGGCTGGTCAGTAATTAAATAAACAGATGAATATAAAAGTACAGAATATACCATATATCCTATCTATCTATCTCATGTGTGTGTGTGTGTGTGTGTGTGTGTGTGTGTATAGTGGATATCCAGTGTGTGTGTGTGTGTGTGTGTGTGAAGGTAAAAAAGGCAGGGTAAAAGGGGTTAGGAGGGTTGGGAGGGCTTTAGTGAGATAAGGTAAGGAGCAGGAACCAGAAGTAACAAAGCAAAGCAGGCCAGTATTCGGGGAAGGGTATTTTAAGCAGAGGGAATAGTAAGTGCTAAGATCCTTAGGTGTGCTAAAGCCAAGCTCTTCCCACCTCTCCTTTCCAGAATAGAAAACTGAAGGTGCTTACATGGTTGCAAATGATCAATATTTACTACTATATACAGTAAGCATTCTGACAAAGTAAAGCAATGCGCATATATATAATAATAAAGTCCTGTCATTGCTATAAAATCACTTTTTGGTATAAGATGGCTTTACAGAAGTGTTTTAAAAACCTGAGTAATTAGAACTAACTAAAAGACATTCAACAGACCCTGAATCATTAGCAATTATTACATCTAATGACTATGTCCTTTTTATGTATAGTAAATATACTTAAATCCTCAGACAATGTCAACTAGTCTTCATCCAATTTCAAATGTACAAGAGAGAGCTATAAACCACGAGACAAGCATTAGGTTAGACCCCTGTGTAGAAGACTTTCAACCAAACAAAACGGCATTTCTTTTTTCCTTCCCTCTCTTCCTTCCTTGTTTCCTTTCTGCTTCTTTTAATGTTTTAGGATCACTGTCACAAATAAACTTCTGACTGGCAAAATTTAGCTTTCTGAATTAATGATACACCAAAGTGGAACACCAAAGAAAAACGTAATCTAACTATAAATGGCCTAAAACTGAAAAGCCAATGAGGAATCCCACCATTGAAGAAAATGATCCTTAAGGGGAAGACTTAGCTATCCCCTGTCTCTATTCTGTGAGTTTTATTTTGAAGAATACACTAGAGTATCTTATGTACCAAATCTAATATTTTCACCCACAACTACACTTCCTAACTTCAGTAAGAGTTCTTTAAAATGCAAAATATTCCAATAATAGAGAACATATGGGGGAAAAAAAACCCATCCTTTTTGTCCAGCTAAATCTTCATTATAATAGATACTTTTCCTTAGGAGTTTTGTTCAGTGTAAGACTAACTTTAACTAGAAGTTAGAAGTGACTCTTACTGTCTTACTTTTCTTACTTTTATGTCTTACTTTTCAAAAAAGACATATCCCCTAACAAACGGGGAATAGCAATAATCTTATTGGTTGAATGATATTTAGGGAACAGAAAAGGATATTCTGGTTGCTTTATTATATTTTCTCAGGGTGTGAGAGCTGAAGAATTGGCCTTTTAACTTGAACCAGAAATCTCTAAGGAAACAATCTAAAAAAGTTAAGAATACTGGGAAAAAAATCTCAGGAAGAGGGAGGACAATTGTGGATATGTGAATCTCTAAATCTAAATGGACCATTCAAGGACTTTTATTAGCTTGGTTCCTATTATTAATCCAGGGACTGATTCATGTCATTGTAGCAGCATAATTTTTGGTAGACCATGTCATTTCTCCACTTGGGTCTGGCTTGATACTTGACCACTCATCTTGGCCTCTTTATCATTGGGTGCAGGGAGGAAGAAGCCATCTTTGAGGCTTTGTCATATTTCTTACTCACAGAACATGTTAGAAATTCATCTCTCTCAGGTCTCCTATGTCTCCTTTGGGAAGAAAAAAGAGCCCTGAGTAAAATTTGTAATTCAGAATCAACTATTTTATATGTGAATCATTCTTGGCTTAGTAAGATAACCTTTTCTGCCACTTCCGGTTTGATTTAGGGAGCTAGTGTCCTCAAAAGCACCTTGGGAAGTATAAGGAATCATACTAATATGTATTTTATTCATTTCTGAAATACAATTTGGTGACTTATTTCTCAACTACAGAGAAGTAATATAACTGGTTTGGGACAGGTCCTTAGAATACCCCCATAGGAGTAGCTATGGAATCTCTTGGGATTTTTTTTTTTACCACATTTATTTATTTAACTCTTTATTTAGTTATTTTTGACAGACTGAGCTGAAGAACATACAGACAACCTTTTACAACGTATTCTGAGCATGCTTTGTGTTTGGGATCCATATTTTTCCCAGTATTAGCATACAGGAATCACTGAGCTCCCTCTATAAATTAGAATCTTCAATGTGGAAATAATGTTTTGATTAGCAGATTAGTGCATTTTATCTTGAGATAAGACTCGAATTATTTTACTTCTCACATAATTAGAATCCATGTATATAGTTCTTTAAAATCTTCAAAACATTTTCACATAGGTATCTCATTTGATTTTTGAAGCTAGCCCTGTGAATTAGCAAGGACAAGTGCTATTAGGGACAGTATGTGACCTTATCAAATGCCTCTTCTCACTGTACCTGGGTCATGGACTAATCCCAGTTCTTCAACTCCTAATACTGTGTGGTCGGGGGACCAGCAGCATCAACATAACCTGGGATATTGTTAGAAATACAGTCAGAATTTCTAGGAGTGGAGCCATCATGGGGCGATTATACCACAGAAATTGGTAAATACTCAAAACCAGGGCTTTAGCTCCCAGAGAGCTGGTTGTTAAACATTTACAAGCACACCTTGGTTACAAGGTTATGTTCACATTAGCTATAGCTTCATCTGCATGTTTGCTGAATCTGATATTTCAGATCTGTCATCATTTAAGATCCATCATGAGAGACTCTTCACCATAGGAAACAAACTGAGAGTTGCTGGAGGGTCAGTGGGTGAGGGGATGGGGTAATTGGGTGAGGGACTTTAGGGAGGGCACGTGATGTGATGAGCACCGGGTATTTACACAACTGATAAATTATTGAACACTACTTCTGAAACTAATGATGTACTATATGTTGGCTAATTGAATTTAAATTTTAAAAAGTAGCTAAGGGGAATGAAATTTTTAAAAAAGGCCCATCATAGAAATTAGCATTAGAATATCTATAAAATTAACAGGATGGAAGTCAGAATCAGCCCACAGATATGTTTGGTTGGCCTGCTATATTTAAAAAAAAAAAAAACCATAAATTAGTGTCAGCTAATTAATTACGCTGATCCTCCATTTTGACATGGCAACAATGAGCTGCAGGTGAAATTGTAAATATGTGTATGCACAACAATCCCCTGTACACTACTATCCCCATCATTCTAGCTAAGGGCTTCACTCTTATGTTTTCTTTTTCATTTTTTTTTAGAGATTGTACATTTATTTATTATTGTCCATATCCATTAAAGTGACTTTCCATGAACAAAGTTCTCACTTTCACTTTTTTCTTCTTGCCTTTTGAGGTTTCCAGGGGTTTCCTTACTGTCTCCTGTAGGCATTTGCATTTCTTACCCTTGATAGAAAGAACACTAAGCCCAGAGAAAGAGGGTTTTTCATAGCTAGGATTTGAATGTGCTGAATGTTCCACAAAGTCAGTTCTGTTGTATTTACAAACTACAACCTGTGAGGAGTAATGCCCATCCTGTTCTGAATTTCAGATGGCCTGTTTGAATATCCAAGTAATGATCTGACTCTTTGCTTACACTTGGGAGCCTGGGCTTTTCTCTGTATGGTGATGACTTTTGAGGGAGGTCTCTAAGGTCTCAGTGGAAGTGACAAATATTTCTCTTTCCCAGTTTGGGAATGCATGACCAGGCTTCAGAAATATCCATCCTGCAGTAAAATGTACAGCACAGATGTTTGTTTGCTGCTGGCACTTTATTTGAAGCTGAGTTTGATGAGAAAGATAAGTGTTGTTTCCTTTCAGATCAAAGTTGTATGTGCTTAGTTTATTTGCCTTGATAGGTTTTTTTTTCTTTTTCCACAGCATAGGTTCAGGATGTCTAGGTAGACACACTGTGTCTCTGTCTTATGTTTGTGATGTTGTCTCTGGGCCTGGCTGTCAATATTGTTGATGGGCCTCTGATTAATTTTTAAGCAGGTTAACCTATGGTCCCACAACTATCTGATGAAATTGCTACTTTTCAGTTTGGCTTGATCCAAGAAGTGACAACTTTCCCTGTCCCACTTAACAAATATTTATTAAGTGATTTTTATGGGACAGGCCTTTGAGCATCGTGCTCAGGGGCACCTGATGAACCAGAAAACTAGCCAGGTTCTAATTAGTGCTGTAAGTGGAAGAGGTTAATTAGGGCTGAAGAACGGAGGACAAAGATGGCATTTACACAACTGTGTCTCACTACAGCCTTTCAGGTCTCCAGATAGTTTTATACCTAAAGTATTACCCCCTTAAGACATGTGTAATTACTTGGATCTCGCCCAAAATATTCACTCAGTAAAAAATGAAAAGTTTGGAATCATTTATAAGATAGATTTACTTTATCAGCAGGTGTCATTTACGGTGATTGTTTCTAGGGATTTCCTTTCTACTTGCTAGATGGTATGCTGCCCAATTCATGAGTCATTGAATAAAGTCAGTGAGATCTCTAAATTAAAACAAACAAACAAACAAACCAGAATGGTTGTTTTTTTGTATCAAGAAAACTTATACCATCATGCTGGTATTCTATTCAAACTAATTCTGTTCATTAGATGTAGATTTTGTGGAGTTAGTTGAATGGGACATTCAGATGAGTGATACGAAGTCAGAAGTGTTCTTCCAGCTATTAACTTTTGTAATGAAGATGATGCCTCTTTGGCAAAGTATCCTAGGGTAGTACTTGTTTAGGTCGTTTCCAGATCCCAGAAGCACTACACATTATGAAGACAAGAGAACAGTGAGTCCCTGGGAGCTATTTGCTAGTTATATCACTCAGGGAAAGTTGTTGAAGCTCTGAGAGCCTTAACCATAAAGTGGATAAAACACCTACTTAGAGAATTTTTTGAGAATTAAATGATATACTACATGTTCTTGGAGTGTAATAAACAATAAATATTAGGTATTATTTTCTTAAAGATTTTTTTAAAGATTTTATTTATTTATTCATGACAGAGAGAGAGAGAGAGAGAGAGAGAGAGAGAGAGAGAGAGAGAGACGCAGAGACACAGGCAGAGGGAGAGGGAGAGAAGTAGGCTCCATGCAGGGAGCCTGACATGGGACTCAATCCTGGGTTGAGGTCCAGGATCACACCCTGGGCCGAAGGTGGCGCCAAACCGCTGGGCCACTGGGGCTGCCCTTCTTAAAGATTTTTTTTAATTTAAGATAGTCCTTATAAATTGTCTTCCTTTGTTGCTTTAGTGTCATGTTGGTGATTATAGATTAATATTATTATTATTTTTTGTCTATGAGAAATGATCGTCAACCCAAGCATGTAGACTGGCAATAATATTATTCTTGGAGACCAAGAATTAAACTTTTGAGGATGCAAAGTGGCCACTCTATCTCCTCTACATCTATCTCACAGCCAATTCATCCTCATCTACTTTTTTTTCCCCCTATACCTGGGAGAATGGGAGTTTTTCTCATGGGATCATGAAAAGAACTTTGGGCCACCCCCACTATTCATAAAAGAGCCAACATTTTTTGAGCTCTTTGTACATATATTATTATCATGAAATCTTTACAACCACACTGTACAGTGAGCATTATCCCCATTTTACAGAGAGGCAACTGAGGCTTCTCAAGTTAAACTTGCCCCACAAACCTCAGTTAAGTGTTAGAGCTAGAATTCAAAGCTGGGTCTATCTACCTACAAAGCCCAGGCTTGGGAAGAGGACTGTTGGGTTGTGTAGGCTCAAAAGGAATTGTCTCCAGGATCCAGGCTCACCAGGCCTTGCTCAGGACCTCGTGTGTGGGAAGTGTGGGTTTCTGCTTTCAGAACATTCTCGTTCTCCTCCCCCTACAGGAGAGCCCTGGACTTAGTATATGCTGTATTGGTTTCCTGTGGCTGCCCTAACGAATAACCACAAACGCAGTAGCTTAGAACGATAGGAATGTATTCAGTCATAGTTCTAGAGAACAAAATCGAGGTATTGACAGGACCACACCTCCTTTCAAGGCTCTCAGGCAGGTTCCATTCCTTGCCTCTTCCAGCTTCTGGTGGCTGTTGGCATCCCTTGGCCTGTCGTGGAGTACTCCAATCTCTGCCTTCGTCTTCATATGTCCTTCACCTCTGTCCATCAGATCTTTCCTGTGTTTCATAAGGAAGCTTGTCAGTGGATTTAGGGTCTACACAGATAATCCACGATGTTCTCTTCATCCCAGGATCCTTAACTTAATCACATCTGTGAAGACCCTTTTTCAAAATCAGGTAACATTCACAGGTTCTAAAAATTAGGACATGGCCATACCTCTTAGGGCCCACCAGTTCAACTCATTATATGTGCTCCTGGATACTTTACCAGGAACCAGGCCATTTCTGTTCTTTAGTTCCCACTGTGAGCAGACATGATATCCAGCAAAGGTTACTTTTCTGGCAGAGTGGCTAATTATTTTTTTTTAAGATTTTATTTATTTCTTCATGAGAAACACACACACACACACACACACACACACACACACACACACACACACAGAGGCAGAGACCCAGGCAGAGGGATAAGCAGGCTCCATGCAGGGAGTCTGATGTGGGACTCAATCCCGGGACTCCGGGATTCCGGGATCACGCCCTGAGCCAGGCAAAGGCTCAACTGCTGAGCCACCCAGGCGTCCCTGAGTGGCTAATTATTATTTATTTTTTTGAGTGGCTAATTATTAACAAGGTTTCACAACTTGGAGTTTTAAAGACGTTTCCATGCTTTTACTGTTAATGACATATTTTCAGTACAGCTAAAAGCCCCTAAGGTAGTCATAGCCTCTCTCACGAGGTTTTGTTCTCTTTCAGATTGCTGACCTGCAGCTCCATAAACTGGATGAACTGGACTGTCTGATTCAGGGCCTGCTTTATGTTGACTCCGTCGGCTTCAACGGCAAGCCGGAATGTTACTATTTTGAAAATCCCACAAATCCTGAATTGTGTCAAAAAAAGCCTTACTGCCTTGATAACCCATACCCTATGTTGCTGGTGAACATGGGCTCAGGTGTCAGCATTCTAGCAGTATACTCCAAGGACAACTATAAAAGAGTTACAGGGACCAGGTAAACATGGTTTCTGCTAGGAGAACCTTTCTGTACTTAAACCCAGGCCTCTATCTTGAAGACCAGTTTATAAAAAGATTATTTGTGTTGAACACACTTTTAAAAGAAAGAGCTTAAAAAGGACTTATTGCATATGTTAACATAGCAAGAGGATAATTTATGTGAAGGTTCATAAAACATAATCCTTAGCCTGCTGAAAACTGGTCAGGTTGAGGGAAGAAGGCCACACCCACCAAACCCAAAAAGCAGTATGTGTTAAGTGCCAGATGAATGGCAGGGACCGTAAGAAAGTAGGATCCAGAAGAAAGGATGCCTCGGATGGTCAGAGAGGGCTTCAGAAGAAGCCTTCTTTTAGAATTTCCTTGGTGCCTAGCACAGGATGAATTGCTTGAAATCATCTGTCATTTCAACCAGTAAACCAAACTGGGTTTACCACAAAAAAAAAGGTTTTTTACCCTCAGTTAAATGTTCCATCTGAAAACTGGAATAGTTGGCATGCCTCTTAAGGAATTTCGGAGTGCCACAGACAGGTGGCAAGAGGGGCAGAGTACCTGGTTGTTAGCGCATGCACGCCCTAAGGGCAGAGGCGCTCAGCTTCCTGTTAGTAGCGATCGAACATGGGAAGAGGATCCAGGGTCAGAAATTTTTGAGACGTCCTAGTGTAAATGTAATTTTTAAAAGTTTTTCTTACTTACAAGTGAAGGATATGGTATGAAGTGTTTCTCCCACTTACGAGACCACAGAACCCGTTTTTAGAGGAGTGACTTAAGGAACTAGTGCCATGTGGAATGTGCTTTGGGACGTGATGTTGAAACCATTCATTTTTTTTTCCTTTTTTTTTTTTAAGATTTTATTTATTCATGAGAGACACACAGAGAGAGGCAGAGACATAGGCAGAGGGAGATGCAGGCTCCCAGAGGGGAGCCTGCTGTGGAACTCTGTCCCAGGACCCCAGGATCACGCCCCAATCCAAAGGCAGATGCTCAACTGCTGAGCCACCCAGGCGTCCCAGAAACCACTGGTTTTTGTTTTGTTTTGTTTTGTTTTTTTAAACCACTGGTTTTTAAAGATGAAGATATCATGTAACTCCTCCTCTAGGCCTCCACGTCCTTGTTTGTACCACAAAGGGGGTCATTTCTTAGATAGTGTCTGTGGACATTTCCAGCCCTGAAAGTCTGCTGCACTCCTCCCTCATCCATTAGGAGAAGCAGCACAGTTTTGCTACTGTATATCCATGACCTGTAATGGGTCTGCCTCAGTGACTCACCACCCGGGAAGGGAAGATTTAGCCTCCCTGCCCGCCCCCCCCCCCCCGCCCCGGGGGGAATTTTGGCAATGCCTGGACACATTTTTTGGCTGTCCCTATTGGAGGTGGGTGCTGCTGGCATTTAGTAGCTAGAGGTCAGGGGTACTGCTAAATATCTGCAATGCACAGATAACAACAAAAAACAAAAAAAAAGTATTGAGCCTCAGATGTCAATATAGTACTTCTATTGAGAAACCCTGGTGCGCAAGTGCACGTACACACACCCTCACTAAATCCTGCTTATGTTCAGAATATAGGATTTTTTTTTTAAGATTTTATTTATTTATTCATGAGAGACAGAGAGAGAGAGGGGCAGAGGCACAGCGGAGGGAGAAGCAGGCTCCATGCAGGAAGCCCAATGTGGGACTTGATCCAGGGTCCCCAGGATCACACCCTGGACCAAAGGCAGGCACTAAACTGCTGAGCCACCCAGGGATCCCCAGAATATAGGATGTTAATTACCCTTAGGTATACCTTTTCTCGCTGAGCATACAGAACTAAGCTTTCTTGCAAACAGAAAAATCACAACTGTCCCAGGGCTTCACAGGGACTGTCAGGAGCATCAAAGATAAATGAATATTTCAACCAAGCTAGTTTTACCTTAGATGGCGATCTCATTAGAGTACAATTTTGAAGTAACTCCAGACTTTATCCCAGAAGGAGTCATTGAATTGATAGAGCTAGTCCCAAGGTAACAACAAGCTAAACACTATCCTCAATGAGAGGTATTTATCATTTCATTGATTAACACTTAGCGAAATCATGAATCACATCACATTTTGTATTTTCTCAAACTTGGAAGTTCCATGAAACTGGATCATCTTTAACAGCAGCTAATGAACTCACTGTGGTGTTTGGCTTCTATTACATGTGTAATCACGCTCATAAATTCCAGCTATTTGGTAAATGCCCATTAATGATCAATGTTTTGCAATCCTCAACAAATCCTGTCTGGATGTCTAAGTTACCCTGCAAGTGCTTTTCAACTAGTAATTTTGGCTATTATAGCACTAGTAATTTTGGCTATTATAGCACTAGTAAGTGCTATAGCAGACTGAAGGTAAATAGAAAGCTCTTTCTGGAGCTGCCACAGGCAGGGGAAGGGAAGGAAACATCCACTCTGTGGGCTGCAGCTTCTCCCTGTCCAACCAGAGTTGTTCTGCCAAAGGCTTCTTTTGATCTAAGTTACAAAACCACTAATACAAACCATTACGGTGAACAGCGAACATCAGTGTGTGGAACACACTTTGGGAATCACTGATCCGAGCAAATAGCTTCAGCTTTACGTTTATTACTGCTATTGTGAGCTGACAGGTGTAACTCCAGGGTTTTTGTTATTATATTATGCCCTATTCTCTCCTTGAACATTTTTATTTCTAGGAAGCCACGTCATTCCAGAAGATCAGTTTTCTTTTAGACATCTGGTTTTAAATGGTTTGTTTCGTGTTATGTGTGATTTTATTGCATTTTAGATTAAGGAGCAACACTTTTTTTCTATTGACAGTACTCTAATTTTATTGTAGCAGCCAGAGAAAAAAGAGGACTTTACAGCCAACACTGTTGCAATGTGCAGATTATTAAAAGAGGAATGTAAAGAATTTTGAAACTTTGGTGAAAGAAGTAGTACAGCTCGTCTCATTGTTTTGGAATCTATTTTAAGAGCACAAGCACTCAGTAATTGAAGGTTTCTTCTACTTTTCCCTAAAATCCCTCACTACAAGGTTGTTGGGTCTTTCAAAAAATAATGATGCTATTCAACAGCTGTCTCTAAGCCATATGCTTTTGTCTCCGATATGCTGAGGGTCTTACTGTGTCTGCTGAAACAAACAGATGTATCTGATTATGAGTGAGAGAACCACATTGGTTTAACAACGGTTAGCAGGTTGAGGATATGAATAAAGTGCTCTTTTGCGATTGTGCATTCTTTCCTCCTATCTGCAGTGTGCCAGCTGTGCAAATGCATGCTTGCTTTCCCCACGCAGCTCCCATGCTTTGTCTGGAGTCATCGGTCATCTTCCAGTCACACAAAGCACTTGTCCGTCCTCACTCATACCAACACATCAGCTGATGAATTGCCTTCTTTCTAAGTCAGCCAATGTCTTCCGCTGCCTATGTTTGGAGGAGATTGTTGAATGCCTTGATTAATATGAATATCTGATGTTCAAAGAGATGTTATTAGTGTAGATGAAAGCAGCTAGAGGTGTGAGAGAAGCCTTGAAAATCTACAGAGACAAACCCAGATGGCACACAAACCAAAAATTGTTCCTATTAAAATACATGAGCTCTGTAGGGCAGGCCGAAACTGATAATATGACACATGCTGTTACATGTAAGTGATGATAAGCTTTAGTAGAGGAAATCAAATTCTCTACTGTGACTGAGTTGTCAAGGTGGTGACGTCTGTGGAGCTCTTGATCTGGTACCACACCTCCGGGTTGGGTAGCTGCTACCGGTGGTGCTTAGCTACCGAATTTTCCAGGAGGGGCTATCATTTCAGTCAAGTATTTTTGTAACAATCACTACTTAAGAAATGTTACATACAGTTTCACTTTAGATATAATTTGAAGAACCGTGTGCCTGTCTACAGTCTGGCACCTTCTTGTTAACAGTTATTGACAGTAAATATAATTTCCCCTAAAGATTCTTTCTTCAAATTTAAATTTAAAATAACTTTAATCTCAACTTGAATTTCCTCTTAGAACTGAAAGCCAGTACCCCAACACGCATGGGATTCCCGGTCCAACACGCATGTTCTCAGCTCTTGGAGCTTGAGAACAAACTAATGTGTGCATTGGCTCTTCATTTGCTCTCCTGCCTCTGCTCCGGGTAAACAGAGCGAAGGCCACGCCAGTGCTCCCTTTCCTGTCAGGAGGTCACTCGGGATAGCTCTACTCTCAGTCTCCTTTTTGCTCTGTCACATAACCGTGGTATTAATACACAAATTCATTCCCAACTACCATAATTAGTTTCTAATTTTGTCTGAAAGATGATTTTAGAGGAATTTTCCCCAAAATGACTGAAAGCTTTTAAAACATAGTTGAGCCTTGGAACTTTTTTATGACCTTTGTTAATACTTTTGATCATTGGGTAGTTGGTAAAATATTAACCCTCTTTCCCATAATCTACCAGAAGAAAGCCCATATGTGAGCAATCAGTGGCTTCCTTTTAGAAATTTTTTGAGATAATGTCTGCTAGAGAATCGAGGTTGAGGTAAAAGATCCGGCTCCTGGGCTGGCTGCTCCTAACAGCCCTAGGGTCAGTCTGGCTCTGCACTTCTGAACTTCACATACACATGATTTCTTTTCCCAAGTATTTGTATTCAGCTACATTCTTTTGTTGTTGTTTTTTTCATAGCAGCCATTTTTCTGGTTATTTGCTGCTTTCAGACCCCCCCCCCCCCAATTAAGAGAGATCCCGATTTGGCCCCATTTTATAGGTGAGAAGGTTGAATGAGGTACTTAGGTTAGCAGCTAGCTGAAGGTCTCACAACGGAAATCAGTGAGAGTCTTTCTCTGGTTTTGTTCTTAAATTCAGGGACAAGTTTTCCTTGATGTTTCTTTTTAGCCTCTGCCCTTTTTAAAAATCTAATCTACCCTAAGATTATTGCACCCTACACTTTAATTCAAGTGCCCTTTTGTTTTTCTTCCCTCTTTTTATTAACCCATATTAGTGATCTTGATGTAGTTGGGGACTTGGATGGGCATATAATAAAGTAAAATTTAAAAATAAACCTTATTGTTCCTTCAGTCTTGGAGGTGGAACATTCCTAGGCCTATGTTGCTTGCTGACTGGTTGTGAGACCTTTGAAGAAGCTCTGGAAATGGCAGCTAAAGGCGACAGCACCAATGTTGATAAGCTGGTGAAGGACATTTACGGAGGAGACTATGAACGATTTGGCCTTCAAGGATCCGCTGTAGCATCAAGGTAGAGACGAAGTAGCTAGGAGCAGTAGTGTGTAAACAAGGCAACCTCTCCACCCTGGCCATTCATTTAGTACTTTTAAGATGTCAACCCACCAGCCTGGTGCAAGTATCTCTGGTTACTGGAGCTCAGACTTGATCTCCCACCCTTTATGAAGCACTGAGATGTTTAGCCTTTGATGCTTGTGCTTAAAATAGGGCAACTTTGAAAGAAGGTTCTGGAAAACTGCAGCAGTTTCCCCTGTTCCATTCTTGTCAATATATCTAGAGAGCATTAAAAAGTTTTCTTTCCCATTAATAGCCATACTACGTTGACCCTACTTTAAAAAAGGGGGCAGCCAACCATTCATACTGTAATCCTGTCTGCTTGTAAACCATAGTAGCCAAATCAGGTCATTTAAGTTTGAACAGAGTTATTCATAAAGCTTTCCACAGTACTTTGGTGGAAGCTTGGGGCCTGCCTGAGGATGATTTTGAACATTCTCACTAATATTTCCAACATAGCTTTGGCAACATGATGAGTAAGGAAAAGCGAGATTCCATCAGCAAGGAAGACCTCGCCCGAGCCACACTGGTCACCATCACCAACAACATTGGCTCCATTGCACGGATGTGTGCGTTGAATGAGGTAAGGCCTTAACCCAGAGGAAGCCTCGTGTCATTCATGCACATCGTCTCTAACAGTGCAAAACTGTTGACCCTTACAAAAGTATAGATCCTTTGGGAAGCCTGCCCTTTGTCCTAGTCACACACATCTTGTAGACCATGAGGGTTGTGTTTTGGGGAATGGAGAGGAATATGCATCTTATTTTTAAGTAGGCACTGGATAACAAATGATACACCATCCAACCATGGAGACCAGGTAAAAGCACAACTGATGCCATAGCCTCTCTGACCATGATTATTAACCACCCACCTACTGAAGTGTGAGGAAAAGCTTTGCACGTCCTTGCAAATAATTGCAGGTAAAACGTTCTACTTGCAGTATTTGATATTCTCTCTGCTTTCAGCTTCTTTACAGTGTTGCCTTGTGGCATGGAGTTCAAGCAGCATTGTACAGGGCTATCAAAGCATAGAGAGCTTGCTGCAGCTGAGGCCAACCAGAGCCCCAGGCACAAGAGTGGGGTGGAGCTGGTAACAAAGCTTTGGGAACATGTTTTGAAACTGCAAAATTCCGTTGGGAAACTAGAACCCTTTTCCGTAATACAAGACATGTAAAGTACAATAGCTTTCACTGAGTTGTGTTAGACAAGAAAGAGGTTGGGACATGCAACAGGTAATAGAAGTGTTAAAGAATCATAGTTGCATCGGTAATAGAGCTTTTAAAAATATGATTTTAATAGAAATACACATAGAAGATCATCAAATCCTGGGTGTACAGCTTGGATTTTCACACACACACACACACACACACACACACACACACACACCTGTATAGGCACCACTCAGATCAAGAAATAGAGTATTACAGGTACTGCAGAAACTGCCTCCTGTCCCCTCCTAGTTGAGCCTGGGGTTTTAAACAGGGCAGGAGGCAATCTTGATGATGGGCAGTACCAGCCCTGTCTTTGAGCCCTGGGGTTACAGAGAAACATACTCCTTTACATTGAGTAGAAGGTGTCACCAGTCTATGGCTCGGGGTCACTTTTTTCCAGCCTTGTCTGAAATGGAGTTCAGATACAAGGCTGAAATGCAAAGAAAGACTGTATCTCAGACACGTGCCTTTCAAAGTCCACTTCGGTCACGGGACTCATTTTAACAGAGGGCTTATTTATTTATTTATTTTTACATTAACCTTTAAAGGGAGTTTTTCCAAGTAGCCAAACAAGGCCTGACTGGTATGTGTGTCTTGGGCTGTCCTCCTGCACTCTCAAAGGTCAGTTAGATGTGACATCCCTGCCCCACCCTTTCCCCTGCTTTCCACAGACCTTGAGCGAGCCCGCAGGTCTTTTTACAATGATCACATTCACTCTAGGGGAAGGGCAACAGATTTTGTCACTTTTCATTTTGCTTTCAATACCGTTTTTGCTGGAGGATAGCAAAAGTGGCAGTTTGAAAGTAAGGCCAGTGAGAGGAATCAGCGATCGCATTGGGCGAGGCTCCCAGTGGGCACAGCAGGAGGTGGCAGTGGTGTTTCTGGGGATCAAGCATCAGCTGGTGCTGCCCGCACCACCCTCACTGAGTGGAGAGTCCTTGAATTCAGCTATTTCATACAGGGGCACCACATGCACTGACTCTAAGATTAGATAGATGGATAGATAGATAGATAGATAGATAGATAGATAGATACTTAAATTGTGATTATTGGAACCCTGTAAAATGCTTCTTCATCAACATTGAACTTTTTATTCACATTTTTGAGTAGAAAATACAAACACAGAGTTACAAAGACAACAGAAGGGTGTCCAGGGAGGTGGGCAACCGTTTGTGCCTTTCCCACAATGTTAGCCTGACTTGAAGTAGCCGTTGTTTTTCACTTTGGGGGTCTTACTCTCTATTGTCTGCGCTACAGCAGAAACCTATCCTTCCAAGGGCAGCAAACTCTGTATCACATTGTTGCTTAAATAAAACACCAATTTTACATCTCATGCAATTCACCCTCTACATACTATTTTATGTCTTGCTTTGGTTGTATATCATCCTTTTATTATGAAAATTGGTAAACATACATACAGGAGCAGGATACTATGAAGAACCTCCTAATAGCCTTTAACTGGACTCAACATTTTTTTTTTTTAAAGTTCTGTGGTTTCCTCTAGTCTTTTTTTCTTTGCACAGTCGTATCTTTGACCCACCTGGAATTTATTTGACATAAAGAATGTCCATCAGCTTTTATTGCCATTCTATTCCTTCTGGCTCATTACCAGAGTAATGCAGGAGTGGGGTTCTGAGCAAGCCCTACATTGGACTCCCTTGTTTTAGGGGAAAAGATGGAACTCCAAAATTTAGATAAATCCTTCTCTAATCTGAGTTACTTACTCTTGACTGTTTCTTGTTACATCTCAGTCTAGGCACTTATTAAAACCACCTCCTGCCCCTCCACCCATGGAAAATATTCACAGTAGTTAATGGACTCATCGACTTAACATTGTCAAAACTTGAGATAATTGAGAGGCCATGTTCCTAGACCCCGATGAGTCTGGATCAACTGGACAGAAAAGGATGCCAGCTTCTAGGAAGTTCTTCCCTTTGACATAAGTGGCCCTAGCAACAGGCTCTGTGAGTGGGTGGGTGGAGCAGCCCCTGCATGGCAGACAGGCTGAGCTCAGTGTTTAGTGTGTGTGCAGAATGCAAATCCATGTCAACAAAAATATAAACAAAGTTTCTGTTACATTTCAACCCACACACATGTTGACCAAACATACCCTAAGGATAGAGACTGGGAACCATTTATTTTTGTATTCCTGCTTTTTGGCATAGAGCAAACTGAGCAAGCTTGTTAGATGAAAAACCCATACCATGGCCATTTCATTTATGAGTTGCTTATAATAATTTATAGTTGGAAGTTTGGGGTAATTGAAAGAATGCAAAGGCAAATTTAGCTGAACTTGAACTCAAGTTACAATTTTATATATGTGTGTTTGTAGCTGAATTTCATATCAGACCTAAGTCAGTCTGACATAATACCTGCAAATAAGGCCAACATAAGTCTCTGCCTGGTCCAACCAGAATCTCACCCTCTTGTTCTTGTGGTATGCGCTATGAAGTTTATTTGGCTTCATTTTGGAAATGCTGAAACAATTTCAATTAAAAAACAAGTTGACTCTGCAAGGTCCTGGGAGTACAGTTATACCATTATTTAATTGTTCTTTAATTTTTTTCCAGAATATTGACAGAGTTGTGTTTGTTGGGAATTTTCTCAGAATCAATATGGTCTCCATGAAGCTGCTAGCATATGCAATGGATTTTTGGTCCAAAGGACAGCTAAAAGCTCTGTTTTTGGAACATGAGGTAGGTCAAGTCTGCATGGAATTAGTTGCCCTGCATGGAGTGTATTTGGCGTCACCTAACTTTTGAGTGAGTCTTTCAGTTTTAAAATTGGTCAAGTAGAAAGAGTTGGCATTTAAACTTTCCATTTATACAAAGGATAAAGAAGAACTATATAAAATTGAAGCTTGCTTCTCCAACAATCAGGACCAGCAGCTGGTTAGTTTAAAAAAAAAAAAAAAATCAAGGCAGGCTGGGTGGCTCAGCGGTTTAGCGCCGCCTTTGGCCCAGGGCGTGATCCTGGAGACCCGGAATCGAGTCCCACATCAGACTTCCTTCATGGAGCCTGCTTCTCTCTCTGTGTCTCTGTGCCTCTTTCTCTCTCTCTCTCTCTCTCATGAATAAATAAATAAAATCTTTTTTAAAAATCAGCTAAAATGAGTAATCATTTAAAAATATCTCACCAATTACTTTGATGTAGCACCAAAGGCTATTTTTGACCATGGGTTCTGCTGATTGGAATTCACTGTTATCCTTTTTTTCATGATCCACAAGTATTATATGCCTTCTTTGATTTGTGATTTATTTCTTGAAAATGGATCAAGAGATTAAAGATACCTATGAAGCACGTTGGTGGCATAATCCTTCTAGATTTTTCTCTCAACCTTTCATGTGCAGTATCCACCCAAGTAGAGAGTAATGGTTTGTGACCATCTTCTCCAACCTTTTTCAAGAACTTAACTGGATTTTCAAAGAAGTGACCAATTTATTTTGTACTCTTTTTATTGGTTTAGGTGATATATAATTAACTTAGATTATAACATCAACAATAAAACTGTCATAAACAAATCTGAGGATAAACACAGTTGACTCTTGGCAAGCAGACAACTCCACTGGTGAGAACAGAAGTGCTGGGCCTGCTCAGGGTAGCCTGGTGGCCCAGAGAAGGTGGTGTCCCTAGGCATTAGCAGCCTGTCTGCAAAGGGTATGGAGAACATTAGTTAATTGAGAGAGTCCCTTCTATCGAGTTTCTACAATCCTATAAATCAGGTTTCTAAGAGTGGAGGACCTTCCCCTCTTTTCCCTACCTCTTCTGCCACCTTCTTTAAAATCAGTACTATAGGGGTGCCTGAGTGGCTCAGCTGGTTGGGCATCTGCCTTTGGCTTGGATCATGATCCTAGAGTCCTGGGATCAAGCCCAATATCAGGCTCCCTACTCCGCAGGGAACATGCATCTCTCTCTCCTTTGGCCTCTCCCCCTGCTTGTGCTGGCTTTCTCTATCAAATAAATAAATAAATAAAATAAATAAATAAATAAATTTTAAAAAATAAAATCAGTACTGTAGAGAGCAACTATTTATTTATCATGGGGGTACCTAATCCCTGATGTGGATTGTAGCAGAATAAACTTTGAGAGAATTAATATCACAGACTTGTAATGAATAACTACTGTGGCATTTTCTTATCTTCAAATTATTTATCTGAAAAGCTGCTGATGCATTTCTAAGTTATTTAGAGTTTTCTAAGCCCATATTTTGTTTTCTTAAAGCAGATAAAACAATAGGAACTCAAATGCTAAATAGTTAAGGCCCAGTGATAAAAAGCCTGTTGTTTTTTGTTTGTTTGTTTGTTTGTTTTTAAGTAGGCTTAAAGCATGGAGTGATAGAACTTTTGGGGGGTTGAGGGACTTGAGTCCCTGATTTTTCACTTTCTCTCCCCAGCCAGAGCCCCTCCATTTTTATCTGCTTATTTATCGTTTCCACGTAAGATTTTGTTTGAAGAGGGGAAAAGCACCTAAGCTATAAAAAAGCAATTAAAATGAAAAAGAAAACTGCTTTTCCAGTTCAACTAGAATTGCCATATTTAGTGATTAAAAATACAGGACATGGTTATTTTATCTGGCATTTATCTATATTTTATCTGGCAACCCTAAGTCCAGATTCTCTTCAACTAAAGCAAAAAACAAACCCTAGAAGCCATCAGGAATTAAAAGCCATCTACACGGTCACATGGATAGTTAGTTAGCAGTAAAGTAGGGAGTGAGATCCAACATTTTGGGGAAACTCACTTCTGCAGGTGAAAGCTTAGTTACCTGAATTTATTTGTACAATCCTAAGGCCCCTTGGACTGTGGCTTGGCTTTGCTATGCACGTATCATAACTCGGTCTTCATTGCCAATGAAAGTGAGTGTTTTTATAGCCCCTTGTAAATATCTCTCAGAAAAGGTTCTGCATTCCTAGATTCCCTCTGGCTTAAGCAGGTCTTCCTGGGGGATATTGTGGAGAGAAAATTGTGGGAGGCACACGTGTGGCGGTTTTCCTGTCCTGCCACAGGAGTCCTCACTCACTGGTCTCATTCATTCAACGAACAGGATTGAGAAGTCGTCAGCCAAGCTGTTAAGACACAGCCTCTTAACTGACTAGGAGTCTTTAGACAATGACTTTACCTCTCCATCTGTTTTAGCCACTGTAACATGGGGGGATAATAATATTTGCCTCATAAATTTTTTATGAAGATGAAATGAATGAATTAATGTAAAGTGTTCAGAAACAATTTCTAGCATATAATGAAACCTCAATAAATGTTAGCTGGTAGCAGCAGAAGCAGAGGTCCTACATGGAGTGCCTGTCCTGGCACGCTGCCACCCATTTGTGTGGGTGACTGTCGAATCAGGCAACAGGAGTGGAGTCTCAGACCTTTTGGAAACCAAGTTCCCTAAACATTTTTATTTTTCAGTTCCTTTCACTTTCACAAAAACAGGCTTTTATTTTATAGATGAGCAAAGGGAAGCTCTGGCTGATTTAGATGCCTTTCCAAGATCTGCAGAGGGAAGCTTAGAGATAAATACCTGGGAGACATACAGATTTGAGGTTGAGCCCTGACATAAGAGTATGACCCTGAAAGGGAAATTTCCTTCATTACCTTCTATTTCTCATCAGTGAAATGGGGGTCATAGTGTGGATTTTGCCAAAGATCAATCCCAACAATACCAGCACTCGTGTAGTACACACCAAGTGCCAGACATTTTCCTCAGCGCTTTACATACAGCAGTTAATTTAGTTCATATAAAAAAAACAGGTGTATCCAATAAATATTATTACTATTATTCTACGGTGCATGGCTGAGTTCAGGTTTTAAGTTTTTCTTATCTATCACATTAGGGGACAGCATTCCTAGCATTGTTAAAAACAGTAGGCCTTTGGCTATTTAGAGATCATCATGCACAAGTTTTCCCCTCGCTTTTCGCAGGGTTATTTCGGAGCCGTTGGAGCACTGCTGGAGCTGTTCAAGATGGCTGATGACCAGTAGTGGTGCCAGGCGGCGGAAGAGCCTTCTGTGGGAACAGGGAACCGAGGACTGCTGTCAGGGGAGGTAGATGCCGCTGTGGGACGGAAGCCAAGCCATTATGGCAGATGAACCTGCTGGATTTGTAAATAATTTAAAATACCTTCTAGCCGATCTTTTACTCTTGGGTTTTGAGCTGATGATTCAAAATGGGGAATACAAGAGTTTTTTCTGTATACTGTATTTTTAAAAAAAAAAAAAAATTTTTGTGCAGCGAGGCCAAACCTATGTATGGATTTTATGCATTAACCTTGAAAAGTTGTATGATGTTTAAGAAGGACCCGAAATGTAAGTGCTGTTTATTTTTCTTCTGGGGTTTACTGATCAGTGTGGTAATTTTAACTTCATTTAGTAATTACTCTAGGAGATTCTACCTTTACTTATATTCTTCATGACGTTTCATGATTTGCTGTTGGTTTCAAATGAAACTACAAATCTGGCGTGTTTTACTGTGAACACGATTTTGTTTGTTTGTTTATATACCTTTTCTCGTCTTTTTTTTTTTTTTCCTGTTGGAATGTCTTATGGAGAAAGAGAGTCCTTCCCCATTTCTGTCCTTAAGTGACTCCCTCCCCTCCCCAATACCTTTCCTTAACCTAATTGTATCAATCAAGGTGCTGACCAACTCAATGCGAAGTGAAGCAGGAGATCAAAAGCTCTCGAAAGTACCCCTGATGAGAAAACTCTGAAAGTGTTGATGAATTTAATGAGTCAGGCAAAAGTTGAAAATGATAGGCAATTTTGTCTTAAACCTTATGCATACGCAATGTTTTGTTGGATTTATTTTATGTTAGGTTATATTAAACTGAAATGTTCTCTAATGACATGTCCTTGATTCATGCCCAGCCTATGAGTGGCAGGAAATCCTTATGCAGGACTCTGGAACTTCCCAGGTAAAGTCTCCCAGTTGATTAACTGTTCCCATTGGGAGATGGGGGAGAAGTCATGGGTTGAGGTGTCAGGTAATAATACCTATTTGTTTTGTACACATATGTACATAGGAGCTTTGTAACAAGGCATCTTAAGTAATAACATTTTTTCATTTGAAATATTTCAGACTGAAAACTGTATTTCAATCCCAGCTTCTAATATTTAAAAAAAAAAATCATGATACTGATCTATCTATACATTTTTTTTTCTTTTTTGAAAGATGTCATTGGAACCAATGGGTAACTTTCAAATGAGAGTCTTGTACAAATATTGAAACGCATGAAGTCTAATGATTTAGAACTGATTAATCTTTCAAATTGAGCATATTGTTGAAAGGGATTTTTGAAGGCAGTGCAGTTCCTCCATGATGAATCTTTCCTTTTCTGCCTCCTGAGCACCATCTTTAATTGCCATTATCTTCAAGTCTTGAAGAACTTGTTAATTGAAGTATTCACTTGTCTGGTTGAAATAAAGCCTGTTTCTGTTGTGATGTTTTTAGTGTATATGTTATTTTCATTTCTTAATCTTCATGTCCATAGTATCTGCTTTTGTGCCATATAATGAATGTGTGTTGTATTTTTGCTACCCTACATTTCATAATTTGAGGCTTTCACATAAGGGTGTCTTCAAATGAAGCCCAAGCTCTATGCAGAGATTCTTAAAATAGCTTTATTGTTGTTATACAACTGACTCATTGCCAAAATACCATTCCTATATTTGCTAATAAGAAAAATTTTTCAAAAGTTGGCCATCACAAGTACTTTTGATCAACTTCCACCTGGCTTAAAAAAATTCAAGCAACTAAGATGTTCTTGAAAAAGATAAATGTAAAAATGTACATATTCTCTACATTAGTGCCTTTTTTGACTGTTCCCTTCTATTCAATCCTACTCTCCTCTATCAGGGAATAGTAGACCTGGGATTATGGTTCTGCAAAAGGAATCAGGACAAGTTAATGTAAATACATAACTTTTTAATTATCTGGAATCACTTGATCTTTCATTGCAGATGTGTAAGACATTGGGTTAGCTGAGGAAATCAATTCTTCCACTATGCAAATTTCAGTAAATGTTGGCTACATATAGCCAGCCTTTTTTTATAATGAGAAACTTGTAGTCTGTGGATTTTTACATTCACTTGAATCATAGGAATTTTCCTTTGGCTCAACATTAAGAAGAAACTTGACAACGTTAAAGAATTTTTATCTTGAATTCAAGATGGTAGATAGTCCAGAGCATGGCTTTTGATTGTGAGACAGCTTCAGTGTGGATCTAGCTCTGCCAATATCTAGCTGTGTGGGCTAGCCACTAACCCTCTCTATAAACTCCAGCTTCCTCATTTATAGAATGGGGCAAACAGTTTTCCCCTCCATATTTAAAGAGCTTAGCACAAAGGCTGACAAATAGTAAATGCTAGCTGTACTGGGAAAAGAAAAATACATCTTAAACTAATGTGTGAAATCAGCGATATCTAATCCTCTAGAATGTGGGGAACCCATTTTAGCACAGAGATACAGATCTCCCATGCCAGTACATGTTCATAGCCCTGTGTCCGCAGTTCCAAAATTCCAAGCTCTTAAAATGTATCTTGATAGTCACGTGACAGAAAAAGCTGACTTGAGCATTATTTATCACACTCTATAGGATTCTTCACATGTTTTGTTGCAGAGCTACTAATGGGTTGAGGTTTCGTTATTGGGTACTGCCCCAGCCCCTACTAGGGGTGGTAAGTAGTGAACAGTCCTGAATTTTGAAAGACATCTGGTCTCAAGAGTTGTAGATAAAGGGATTGTGGAAGAATGGTTGTATTCTTCAGGTTAGGTAGTATATATCGGTTCAGAGTCCCTTTGCTGGGAACTGTTGTTATAGGTAATTTATGCTCGACATCATCTGGTCATACAATGAATAAGAAGTTACCTTGTGCCAGGAAGGAGATAAGGAAACCAAGAGGAATTGGCTATAACCCCTGCTGTTCAGCAAGGGAGACAAGTCTCAAGCCAGTTCATGTTATAAAGTGTCACAGATGTCACTCATTCGTTCACCAATATTTACAGAAGTGAACAAAAGACCCATCCTCAGTGAGCTTACATTCTAGAAGGAAAACAGATAATCACTAAGTAGATATTGCTAGATCAGTATTATAAGGAGAAAATGAGGTAAAGTAAAGAGCTAGAGAGGAGGTAATTATATTTAGAGAGTGGAAGGGAAGAAAATTCTTTGGTAGAGTGGTCAAAGACAAATTCTATGAGAGGAGATGTGTGAGCAGAGTCAGATGAAGTTGGGAACACACCATGTAAATACCTGGGAAAACATTGTTTATTCCTGGCAAATGAGAATGAAGATTTTGAGGAATTGCAAGCATTCAAGTGTGTGTGGAGTAAACAATGGGAAGAGTGGTGGGAAATGCAGTTTTGGGAATAGCCATGAACCATGCCTAATATGAGGTCTGTACCCAAGGCTGGAGGCTGCATCTGAGGAACTGGTCACTTCTGGAGGAGAGGGCTCGAGAAGTTTCCATTGAGTCTTAACCAATGAGTAGAGACTACTGAGTGGGGCAGGTGGGGAGGTCTTCCCAAGCAGAGAGAACAGAGTGGGAGAAGCATTGAGAGAAGAAACACTAGTCAGGTTATTCAGGGAATTAGAAGCTGTTTGCTTCCACTGGAGCCTTGGTTATTGAAAGAGAAACCAGGTACTCAGAGATGGGAAACCAGCCAGATTATGGAAGGACTCATATTCCAGCTAAAGACTCTGGTGTTTTCTGTAGTCAGAGCAGAGTCATCAAAGGATTTCAAGTAAAGTGGTAATAGCAAAATGTCCTACTGAGGTAAATGAATAAATCAGTTCTTGTGCTTTGGATACATAACACCATTTTTATTATCATGTTTGCTTTAGTTCCTCTATTGTGTCCAACCTTATGCAGTAGCTGCTTAGTAAACTACATTTCTCTGTAACTAAGAGGGTTAAATAAGCTCTTGAGAATTTTCCCACAGGACCAAGGCTGCTAATAGCTACAACCGTGCTATGATTCTATTTAGTGACTAGGAAGATTCCAATGTCAGTGATCACCATTAACTCTATTACTTGCAAGAGTTGTTTGGAGAGAAGGCTCTTTTCCTCCCAGTGATCAGAAGATGACTGTGAGGAAATTGGGAGGAAACTTGAATTAATGCACATTTTCTACTGGATCTATCAGGTGCTCATTATGCACTTTTCACCTATTTAACTTTGACTGAATGCCTATGATGTGGGAGGTATCGATTGGGTAACTTGTGGGATACATTCAGTTGTAAGACAGAAAGATCCCTCTTTTCATCGGGCTTCCATTCTCATGAAGGAGGTAAACTTTAAGCACAGGAACCAACAAATAAACAGGAAAATGGTAGTTAGTGATCAATGCTGTGAAGGGAAGAAATAGGGTGATGTGGCGGAAAGGAAGGCAAAGAATTTCCTTAGTAAACTGGGTATGATATACAAATATGAAATCATGGCCTCAGCTTTTGAGGAATGACCCTCAAGTGTTTCTTGCTTTCATTCATCACTACCTCCTCGATTGAAATAAAAGATATTTTGGGGGAACAGTTTAAGAGCTAATTCAGTTTCTTTTTGTTTTACTTAGAATATTTAATTGAGTTCCCGTATGAATTTTAAATCGTATGTTACATGAAACAATAGATTAACTTAGTAATGCTCCTTTTGTACTACTTACTCATTTCACGAAACAATATTATTTAGCTGTTCACTTGAATCTTTATTGTCAATGCCTTTGTCGTGGCCTGAGTCATTTCATGGTTTCCAGAGCACACCAAGTCTGGCACACGGCACTTTTTGAATCTATTTATGATATTGACACTGGATTTTTTTTTTTTTTAACCAAGCCCGGACCACCTATTTCCCCAGTGACCTCAATTATTTGTTTCATTTTCCAAAAGATGTTATATTGGTGATGCCACAGTGTAACCATTTATGTAGTGCCTTTTATGGTCAATTTTAAAAGGTTAGTTTATAAGTATTCATCACTTGCGATACAAAAATAAAAGAAAATTTGTATGAAAAGTCTTTGCCTCTTCTTATGCTCACTCTATTAGGTAAACACTAAGCATTCCAAACTAGAATTAATGGAGGTGATTTGAGTTAGTGTTGTCACCAAACAGTTCTTAACCAGTCTGCAGTTAGAATTCATCTTCTTAAATTTAAGTATTATTTTTAAAAATTCAGTGCATTTTATATGCAGATAATCTAAAAAGTTAAATAGTTCCAGAAGACTAAGAAAAAATAGCAGTACCCATGTTTTCTGTTCTTTTTTAAAGATTTTATTTATTTATTTATTCATGAGAGACACATTGAGAGTGAGAGAGAGAGAGAGAGAGAGAGAGAGAGAGAGTGAGACGCAGAGACACAGGCCAAGGGAGAAGCAGGTTCCATGCAGGGAGCCCGACGCCAGACTCAATCCCGGGTCTCTAGGCTAAGACAGCGCTAAACCGTGAGCCACCCAGGCTGCCCCCATGTTTTCTTTTCTTTTTTGTTTTTCCTCCCTCTTTCTCTTTACACTTTATTAATGACACATGATACTTTCTCGGTGCTTAAAGGCAAAGCCAAGGGCAGGGAAAGGGTACTTGGATATGTCAGACCACCAAGGTTGTAGCTAAGACTCATAGCCACAGGGACTGTTTTGGTTGGTTGGAAGATTTGGGGAGAGAGGGGTATGCTCAGCATTCCAACCAATGCCTGGGTATATTTTTATCAGGAATTCATTTTTCAACATTGGCTGCTGGGCTTTTCTTGTTTTATTTCACTATTCTGAACAAAGCAGCTTCCCAGATAAGGGTAGGGTGATGAGGGGAAAAGTTTGAGTAGCTTTATGTCTAAAATCTTCTAAAAATATTTTTATGCTATGCTCATTCTCAATTGATAGTTTGGCAAAGTATAGAATTTTAGGTTAGATCTTTTTCTTCAGAATTCTGAAGGCATAGCACTATTATTGCCAAGCTTCCAGTGTTGCTGTAAGAAAGCCTGATGTCAGCCTGGCTCCTGATCTTCAGATGTAACTATTTCCTCCCTCTTTTCTAGAAGTTTTTAGAAACTTTTCAATTTCTGATTTCAACCAATCCATCACCCTCAACCTTATCAGAAAAAAGGCTAAACAAACTGAAAATCAATGACTTTTCTCAGACCTATCAGAGAATTGAGGTCATAGAACAAACTGCCACCCTAAAATTTGAAAAGACAAGGAATACTGAAAATCACAGCTGAATCGATTTACCTACCACCCATAAAGTGGTAGGAACACTTAAACGGCAATTTTGACAAACTGGTGGAAGCTAAGTGTGGACTTACATAAGAGTGAGACATTCCTGGGGACCCGTGGTCTTAGGGAGGGTCCCCACACTTCCATGAGTCCTACCTCCAGGAACCCCACCCAGTTATCATGGTGAAGAGCTGAGAAAAATTCTCCTATGTCTCTGGCAGGAGGACAAAGTATCATTCTGAAATT